TGAACAACTTAAGTGCAGCGCCCAGCAACAGTTTTGCCATCACGCTGCAGGATACTCACAAAGGAGCTTAATACACACACACACACACACATACAGAGATGATCAAGTACATGTGGCATGTGGCAGCGCTGCTGATAATCTTCTGCTGGCTGCCTGGCTCTACGGCGCGCACGGCCAGCTACCACCACATCAATGGCCTCAGCGTGGACCAACAGCAGCAGCAACAGCAGCAACAACAACAGAAGGTGCAGCCGGCTGCACAGTCGGGTAGCTCGACGAGCCTGTGGAAAGACCTGTCGCTGGTCTACCGCATCTACCAGCAGTGCACGGGCGAGAACCTATCCGTGTGCCTCAAGGTCAAGCTGCTGACCGGGCTAGAGAAGGCCTTCCGCTCCGCCAAAACGTTGCCCCTGTTCGAGGGCATTCAGTTTGTGAGCAGCACGGATGAGGCGCAGAAGCGGTCACAGCTGCCGCCCGTCACGGAGCAAGATATTGAGGCTGTGCTGCCGCGCGGCCTAGATGCCAAGGAGCAGATCCTCAACAGCATGATCATGAAGCGCGTGGCCACCTTCCTGCAGGATCACACGTTGCAGGTGAGTGTGGCTCAGCCTAGTCTGGCTTAAGTGCCCAACAACAGCTCTCTCTCTCTCTCTCTCTCACTCGCAGATCAAGTTTCCCGACTTGCGTGGCGTTGATAGCAACTCAGTGGAGGGACGCAAGAAGAAGGATAAGAAGGGCAACGGCGCTTACATCATGATCCCCCTGCTGCTGGGCGGCACCTTCGTGCCCATCGCATACGGCGCATTGGCCATGCTGGCGGGCAAGGCGTTGATCGTGTCCAAGCTGGCTCTGGTGCTGGCCTCCATAATTGGCATTAAGAAACTGCTCAGCGGCGGCGGCGGCGGCAAGGAGTCCTCCCACGAGGTGGTCGTCTCCTCCGGCGGCCATTCCGGCTGGGGCCGCGACTTTGACATGGCCTACAGCGGCTGGAAGCCGGCCAAGGAGTCGCCGGGCAGCGCAAAGAGCCTGTAAAGCGGCCAGCCAGCCAGCTGAGCTAGCATTTGCATTTGAGATGGAGTTCACCAAAGAAACGATTGCCGCATGAATTGTCTGAATAATCACTAATGTTTAGCTTAATTCGATTATCTCTATATACGTATACATATATACATACATATATATATATCTATGTGTAACGAACTAAATGTGTGTGTTAGGCCTAAGTAAGCGTTAATTAAATGTAGTAAACAATTTTTGCTTAAAACTTCGCCTACCCCTTCTCAGTCTCGGCCAGCCAGCCCAGCCACGCCTCAACAGCGCCAGCTGAATTTATGATAACAATTTCAAAAAGAGCTTACGTGCGTGCTAAAAAAAAAAAGAAAAGAGCAAAAAAACGTCTTCGCTTTCTACCAAAGAAAAAGAAGCTACATATAAAACTGCGAGCACATTTTTTAGAGTCGAATGCAATATTCATAGATCAAATATGCTCGAGCGTCTCTCGCTTGCTTCAATTGTGTGGTAAATGCCGTTGTTACTGTTATTGTTGTTGTTGCTTTCGGAGGTATGCGACATTTTCACTTTTGCAGTCTGCACAAAATATTAATGAGCTGCTGGGCAAGCAGCAAGCAGCCAGGCCAAACGAGGTAGAACATTGAACCTATTCATGAAAAAACTGGGCCTGCGACTCATTTAAATACATTTCTCACGCCTAATCAAATGGCCTTTTGCCTGCTTTAATTGCTGACGTCACAATCGGGGTCTGGGCAACACTTTCATTAATTGAAAATTACTCAAGCCTGACGGAACAAGAGGTAGCCGGAATTTGCCAGCAAATGTCACTGATTGCGGCGCAGGGGAGGCCCGCAGGGGGGCCTCAAGCTTGGCATGAAAGTGAAACTTTCAAAAAGGTGTCAATTCGGTAGACGGCAGCTGGAAAAAGGGTTGGGCGCGAGAGCTGAGGACCTGAGCGTGAAATGAAAGCAGCCGGAGCCATGAGTAATCGCAGAGTACGTGGAGGAGAGCTAAGCCCGGCGTCTAATGAACAGGATGCTGCCAAGCTGTTTCCTGAGCCGAGTCAATTTTCGAGCAAACATCGTTAAGCATCTTAAATATTTTAGTAGGTATTTTGGTAAGCCAATGGCTTTTCTCTTAAGACTTTAGCCGCTTAGCCACCGACGCTTACATAAGCAAAAATCTCAGCTCGTCCGCAGCGATTCAAATGAAATCAAATGCTATTTCACTTTCATTGCTTTTGACATGCAGTCAAAATAATTGCCCGAATCTTAAATAGCTGGCTAACAGCCGGCTAGTCGACCGACACATGCCCTACACTCGATTCGGAGCTAAATGCGTGCTGCACGAGTGTACAACACCTCAGACTTGATAGCTTGATGGCTGATGGCTGATGGGCATTCAAGTCACGTCACACGCACATCCATCTACATCTACATATACATATACGTACACATACACATATACACGTGCATGTCATTTGCATATCCCATCAGCATCAGGCACAGCAGCTACAGTAACAATAACAACAACAATAACAGTAACTAAACACCTTTCGGCTCATCAACTATACGCTGTTTAGGCTACGCAGATAATCAGCTACAAAAAATTTGGCTTGCTTTGCATCTGGAATCGAGCATAAGTAGCGTGCAAATCTCAGCATTCAGCGCTTTCTTTCAGGTACTTGACTAATGCGTAAATTACACAAAAAGCGAAGAAGCAAAAAAAAAAACGAACGAAATGAGACAAGCGAGAAAGCGCAAGTGCAGAATGTTTGACTATGAAATACCCTTTATTAGATTTTTATATACCCTGAACTCAGAGAAAATGGGAAATCAGTTTATGATGTTCCTATATTAATAATATTTTTTTTATAAATCTTGGCCCTAGGCTGAATATATATTTAAGCCAATTTAATTCACTCGATGTTTAAAATAAAATGTTGTTTATTCTTTAGTATTTATTTTCTTTATATATGTAATTATATAAATATTTTTCAAATATTTTTCATCGTCTTTAACCTTTTCTTATTCGTCTAATCACGTTTGGCTAAGACAAAAAGCCGCAATAAATGAATTCTTAAAAAAAAAAAAAAAAAAAAAACCAAAAAAATATTTCTATACAGGTAGATTAAAAGTCTAAATAATCTATATTAAAATATAGATTATTAAATTTTAATTTTAAATATTACTAAATAAAGCTCACAAAAATGTTCAGCAGGTTGAACCATATTAAAGCTTATAAATGATAATATAAAAATTATTAAAATATATTAAAGTCAGTACAATTAACGAGCCTTAAATTAAACAGAGTTTCCAAGCTTGAATATACATGATAAATACATAAAAAATAAACTGTGTAATTGTGTTTGATATAAGTCCAGTAAAAGCTCAATTAGATTCGAAATGCGAACCTCTTAATAAGGATTATTGAATATTATAAGAAGAATTTCATTATGGGACAACTTAAATTTACATTTTCAGCATAAACACAATCAGAGGCAAACACTGCATTTCTATGCCAATTTTGATTGGCCATCGCAGCTTTTGCTATACGCAGGGTATTTTTAAAGACGTGCTAAAAATTTCAAATGATAATATTCATGTTAAAGAGTAAAAATTAAAGCGACATAATGCGAAAGATTTTGTGTGATATGAAACTCTTGTGCAAATGCCAGCGATTGGCATACAAAATTGCAGATATATAGAGATGTGTTTATGTGCTAATGTGTGTGCATGTGTGTCTGTGTGGAGGAGAGATGTACAGATGGCGGGGCTATAAGTGAGATGGAGAAAAACAAATACATAAATAAAAAGCAAAATTAAAGTGAAATTTTTTTATCCATGCCGCCTGCAAACTAGTTAATTTTCTATTTTACTCCAATTTGAGCCATGCCCGTTGCCGTGTGGTTGCTTTCATCATAAGTAGAGCCGCTGCTGCTGATGTTGCTGTTGTTGTTGTTGCTGTTGTTGCTGATGTGCTATGATTGGCCAGCTATGCTGGCGTTTGATTAGCGCTCGCTTTAAATGCCACATCAAGTCACGTGTCTGCAATTTCTAATGGTTCGATCAGTGGAGCGTCTAGCAGCACGCACCACTTTCCGCGCCAGACCACACTCTGAGCTCGATGGTTCTCAGCCAGCCGAAAGTGTGCCACTTGTGCAGGCGCCAATGCAAAATTTTGAGCTGTCAAAATTTAATGCACGCTAAACCGATTCAAATCATTTAGCGGCTAGGTGTGTCCGAGTGTGTGTGTGTCGGTGTGTGTGTGTGTTTATCTGTGTGTGTGTGTGTGCAAATAGTTAAGTGCTGTTTAAGTCTGTTGACAAACAACAATAACAACAACAGCAGCAACAGTCGCTAACAAGCCAGCGCAGCGCTGCTGGCAGCGACAGCGACGTCGACCGTGACTGCGACACTGCGTCAGCATAGCTGCTGCCACACACACACACACACACACACACACACGCACACACACGCACACCGTTGGCCTGGCCAAGCCAAGTCAAGCCAGGTTGCATCAAGAGCCGCAGCCGTTGCGCTTCGCTGTGGTTGTGAATGTGGCGATTGTGGTTGTGGCTGTGGCTATGGCTGTGGTTGTGCCTGACGTCGTCTTCGTCAGGTTGTTTATTTAAATTCTAAGCTCGGCTACTGTTTGAGTCGCCATGTGTGTGTGTGTGTGAGTGTGTTGGGGATGCGGCTAGCGCGTCGTGAGTCGTCGTTGCCATCGACGTCGTTGTCGTTGTCGTTGCCGTTGCCGTTGTCGTTGTCAGCAACGGCGCTGCTGGCCGGGAATAAAACTCGATCCGCGTGCGTCTTCTAGCCACAGTTTACGGATTGCCTTCTGACCGACAGATCGAATAAGCCAATCGAGCGCAGTGCACTCAATCAACTGTACAGCTAAGACTCAGCCAGAGTCGTGTGCCCAAATCAAGGATAATCAATACCAAGTGTCAAGTGCCGTTGTTGTGTGTTGCGTCAGATCCCACGCCCACAAATCAAATCAAAAAAAAATAAATTCAATTATGTTGAAATTCGTGTGCCTGTTCGCGCTGCTCGCCTCAACGGCAGCAGCAGCCTCTGAGGCTGACAGCCTGCTGACGAGTGCCCTTCGCATGGTCAAGGACTGCGGCGAGCGCTCCATGGTGCTGTGCATGAAGGTAAACAAAAAAAAATAAAAGTGTAGAGCGCGGATTATCTAATATAAAAAATATGAAAACAATACCCACTCACACAAACACACACTCACACACACTCTTATGTAAACAGGAACGCGCCTTGCACTACTTTGACTCGGAGAACGGAGATGTGAAGCTGACGGAGGGCATTTCCCTGGTCAAGACCGACGATATACCCGTGGGACGTTCCCTGAACGATGTGGCCCTGCCCGAGGAGGCGGAGGCACGCGAGAGTGAGGTCGACTCGCTGCTGGTGGAGCGTGTCGCACGCTTCTTCGGCACACACACGCTGCAGTTCAAGGTGCCCAAGGACTCCATCCAGGATATGCAGCGCGCTCTCGAAGAATGTGAGTAAAGCATACAAAAACTGGCCAAGCAGCCAAAGCGGCCAGCTTGCCTCTTGCTTCTCTGGCTTACTGGTTCTGCGCTATTCTGCCAATTTGGGTTAGTGGTGCAATTATCGTCGTCAGTTGCGTCTGGCTGCCAACCTGCAGCAGCAGCAGCAGCAGCAGCAGCAGCAGCAGCAGCAGCGCAAGCAAACTGGGCATCGCTGCAAATCCTGTTTTCACTGTTAGCTGTCGCACACACATGCACACATTGGGGTCAAAGCCGGCCAGCAGGACCGATGCGGTGGCTCTTGGTCTAGCGGTGCATTGACAGGCGCTTGTGGCATGCAGCTTGGCCAGCGGCCGCTCGTTGCAATTAATTGCATTTTAGCCAGTTCAGCGCGGCTCGGGCGCACTTTCTTTTCTGTGCGATTTCCGACCATAGAAAGCAGCCAATCCTGTTTGCCGCTTCATTATTCATTGCTCATTGGCGTCTATTTAATAATAATGCGCTTTGCTCCAGTTGCTAATGAGCAGATAACAAACCAATGGCCAGCCAGCAAGCGAAAGTATTGCATGTCAAGCAGACACTTATCAAATTGATGTTGTTGTTTTTCTTTTTTTTAATATTTAATTTCTGCTTGCTCTTTTCGTTTGTTTAGCACGCGGCAAGAAGAAGGAGAAGAAGAAGTACCTGATGCCGCTGCTGATGCTCTTCAAGCTGAAGATGGCCGCGCTGCTGCCCTTGGCCATTGGCTTCCTGGCGCTCATCTCGTTCAAGGCTCTGGTCATTGGCAAGATTGCGCTGCTGCTCTCTGGCATCATCGGTCTGAAGAAGCTGCTCGAGTCGAAGAAGGAGAACTACGAGGTGGTTGCGCATCCGCACTACGAGCACGAGCACAGCTACGGCAGGTCGCTGCACAACAATGCCGAGGCACAGAACCTGGCCTATGCGGCGTATCAGCAATAGATGCCGAGGTCTCTGCTGCCAAAGCCAGCAATAATTAGTGCAATACACACACACAAAAGAAGATGATGAAGATGATGAAGAGGAAAACTCATGAAAGTGAAGGAAATGCAAAGGAAATGAGCACAGAGCTCTAGCAGCTCGTTTAATTTATTTTATTTATTTAATTTATTTCTAGCTTAACGCAAGCGAAAGGCGCCATCAACAGCAACAAAACAAACAAAAACAAAAGAAAACAAATAACACTGTCAAACAAAAGAAATGAGACCCTAGTTAATAAGCTCTAACAAACATGAAGTCGGCTGTAATTGCAGTCGGCGAAATGAAAGCGGGGGCGGCACTTGCTCAAACTGAAACTTAACTAAACTGTTAACTGTAAACTATGAATTATAACTTTAAACTGTAAACTGTAAACTGTAAACTCTAAACTGTTAACTCTTGACTGTTAACTGTACTCGTGTACTTGTATTATGTGTAATTATTTGCTCATAGCTTTACTATTTTTTACAACTATTAACTATATACAGTTTCTGATTGTTTTACGACAAGCCACACACAAACTACTCTGTCCAGTCAACGTTTCGCCACGCCCCCACGCACGCACCCAATTGCCCCAACTGACACTCACACGCACACGCACACGCACACACAGACACAGACACAGACACTCAAATGAAACTCAATAAAGCCGCATTTATCTGTAACCAAAAACATCGCTTTGCATTTCACAGGCATAACTACATATGCATATATATGTACATACATACGTGTGCGTATATATGTTTATATTGCGCATACGCAACGTGCGTCGCATACAGCTCGCTCGCTTGCTTGCTTGCTGGCGTCTCTTTTTTTCGGATTTGTTTTCTTGTGTTTTTCAAGTGAAATGCTTTCACTCTTTCACTAATAAAATGAATTACCAACTAAGGCGAACGAGGCCAGTGATATCAATTGCATGTGCGACACACAAAATCACACAGCAACAGCAGCAACTGCACGAAGAAGTCGAAGCCGAAGCAGAAGCAGAAGAAGCTGAAGCTGACTCTGAAGCAGAGGAAGAATTTCACTTGCCAGCCAGCGCACTGAGGCGTGCAGGAGATCCCACTGAGAGCTGCAGTTGCCAGCTGCTGGCCAACTAGCTTCCTATTGGCCTAGCCAATGCACATACACTCTCCAACATACTGACGGCCCCCACTCCCTCCCACTCAATGTGCTCATTGGTATCCGGTGTCGCTCCAAAATCAAATGAAAGTCCCCACTTTTGGCCACGACCTGCTTTTTGCATGTGCAATTGCAACACGTATGCTCTGCACGCCCCGCCCCGCCCCTCCTCGCAATGTCAATGCTGCCATGAAGATGGGGCACGCCCCTGCTTGTGTGGGGGCAGTCGGTGCAATTTATGGCCGTATGGCAAATGCCAAATGGCCAAAACGATTTCTTAACTGTTTGTCAACAATTTTCGCCTGCTGCAACTGTTGCTGCTGCTGCTGTCGTTCGTTGAATCTGAAATGTTGCTGGTGAAAGTGTTTATTAATACAATTTCTAGTGCTTGCGTTTGTCACAGTCTCTGGCAATGGGAAAACTAATTCCACTTATTTGGCCAGATTTGCGGCAATCGGACCAAAAAACTGGCCCAGACACAGCCAGAGCAATGCTCCTGAACACTCTGGCCAGCCTCAGCTCGAGTGCGAAAACTTTGGCCAGGCTTTGGCGCAAATTAAGCCTTAAAGTTCTGGCAAATTGCAAATTGGCCTACTCGAAAACAAGTGGGCTGCAGGAGGCGTGGCGCTTGTGGTTACCTCAAGTTCATGACTGTCGGAATTCATTAGCAAAATATGCAAAACTTTATCAACCACTCGGCGGCTCAAGGGCTGTAGACGGTGTAGAATGTACCTAACGACCTGCCACAGCTCCAGTGGCTGTTGTCGTTACACTTGTTGTTGTTGTTGTTGTTGTTGTTATTAAGGGTTTTGTTGCACTGCGACGGGCTGGCAACACCGAAGCCTGTTTCGAATTCCGCCTGAAAGTATGCAACACTTTCGAATAAACTTTTTTTTCTGTTGCGGTGCGAGTGGTCAACCGCTTTCGGATTGCTTTTCCCACAGCAACAACAACTGCAAAGATTAGAAAGGACAAATCATTAGGCAAGTGTGAGATGTCTAGGGCATTCATTTACGCACACACATGCATTGCAGCAAAAATGAACAAACGGAAAATACAAAACGGAAACTGGAAAAATCATAAAAGTTTGTTTTGCTCTGAAATATTAAGTAAATAAAATATGAATGTGGTCAGAGTTTGTAGAGTAAAACATCACATTTTACTATGAAATTCCTTTTTTTACTTCGAACTTGGGATTTTCGTCAGACTTTAAATTCCGAAAATAATTTTCTTAGAAAAATGTCTTTAGCTCAGACTTGGAGATGTGAGTTTATATTCTTGAAATAATTTTTAGTATAAAAATTCTTACGTTAAGTATTTGAAGTATGTGGCCAATGCAGCAGGTATTAAAATAGTTGAGATTCCTGTCGAATTTTTCAAGTGAACAGACTTAGAGCTCTGCTTCTTAGCAGAGGCAAAGCAATTTATATACATTAGAGAAGCTATTTTGCTGCTCATCATATTTATTTATATAGTCGAAAAATTCTATAGTGATAAAAGCCACCAGCTCTCGCTATGCTGTCTCTCACAATGTGCCTTCCCAGAGGGACAAATTTTAGTCTCTTCTCATTGTCTCTTTGTCGTTCTGTGGTTCATTGAAAATTACAATGACTGTCTGCATAGTCTGAGTAGCTATATTAGTCGCTTTTATGAACAGCTGAGACTCAGTTCAGCAACAGATGTTTTTGTCTATTGCTCTGTCTCTCACTCTCTATGTCTCTCTCACTCTCTCTGAGAACTTCTTCAGTCAGAATACTTCGCAAAAACTTCAGCATATAGGGTCAGCTGTAAATATTCTAAATGAGCATTTATTCTCTTTACAATCGTCTCTCATTTTATATGAAAAAACTCAAAGGCATAATGCTTTGCACAAAAGCAACGCCTATTTCCTACAAAACTTAACTTAACTACAATGCTAACTAGCTACAGATTTAACTCAATCGGAACTCTAATATCCGCTGATTTATTTTGGGCACTTACCAGACTTTAAGAAACTTCAAATTTGACTCTTTAAATGGGCGTTCATTTGTGGTAATGCCATAATTGCAGACGCTTTTTTGATGGAGCTGCCTGTATTGGATCTGTGTGGAGCTGTGGCGCCTCTTTCATAACATTTCTGGAGCTCAACAATGGCTCATTATGTAATGGCCAAGATGTGCGAAAAGAAAAGAAGCAACAACAACAACAACAACAAGTTGGCCGCAAGTCGGCGCAGTGGGTCGCCGGCCGCGCGTGTGCACTGACCATGACCATGATGCCAGCTGCTGCAGAAGCACCCACAACAACAACAACAACAACAGCAACGTTGTCAGTCACTTGACGGCGTTGATGTACAACAATTTCCGTTATTGGGCCACGGCGGCATTACATGTGCAAAAACTGAGCCGAACTCGAGCAGATTTGGCCAAAATGTGAGTTGTATAACGCGGCTGGTTCAACTATAAAGCGAACGGGTCAGCTGGCCAGCAGGCTCAGTTGACTCGCGTTCATCGAGCTGCACAGCATGGAAATACTCCCGCCTCTACTCTTACCACTGCTGCTCCTCATCAGAGCCGCAGCTGGCACCGATCTGCGGCAGGACAGCCTGGAGGAGCTGCAGCACTTCAAGCAGTGCGTGCGTGGCTCGCAGCGCGGCAAGCTGAGCGAATGCCTGGGCCGCTCCGCTCTCAATTTCATACAGCGCTTCGAGGAGCGGGACAATGTGACCTTTGTGGCCGACCTTGTGGCCGTCAAGCAGGAGACGGCCGCCAGTCGCTCGCTGGTAAATGTGCTGGACACCGATCCGGTGGACTTTCGCGGCATATTGGAGAATGCAGGCGCTGTGATGGGACAGCGCAGCCTGGAGTGGCATATGGATGGCATTTATCCCGGCCTGATGTTCAAAATCGGACCCACCGCCGATGCGAACAGTGTGGCGGAGTTTGTGCTGGACACTGATGCGCTCGACCAGCGCCAGTTTGGCCTTGAGGAGGCCAGCACAGGTGAGCTGTGAGACTCTCACATAAAGTTGTGTAGATTGAGTGATATATATGTATACGCCCATAGGTCGCTTGCTGGCCAAGCAGTATCTGCTGCCCTTTCTGCTCGGCCTGAAGTTCAACTTGGTGGCCCTGGTGCCGCTGCTCTTCGCTGGCATTTGCCTGCTGCTGAAGAAGTCCCTCTTCCTGGCCAAGCTGGCCATCTACGTGAGCAGCTTCCTGGGTCTCGGCGGCGTGCTGGGCACGCTGGGTGGCTTTGGTGGGCTTGGTGGCCTGGGTGGCGGTGGAGCTGCCTTCGGCTATGGCGGTGGCTTTGGCGGACCGCGACCCATTGGCCATTTCCCGGGCAAGACATCAGTTTACAGTCACAACGACGAGCTGCATCACCAATCCTACAATGTGCACGAGCCGCAGCCCTATAAGCGCAGCGACCGCAAGGTGCGCTTCGAGCAACCACGGGCACAGCCTGCGGCAGCCGCCATCCCCAAGCGACCCACCGAGGATCGCTTCTACGACTATGAGAAGCAGCACAGGATAAAGAATCCGCTGGAGGACAGCATTGGCTCAGCGGATGCGCTGGTGCGCAGCCTGCAGAGCAGCTCTGGCGCCAGCCAGATGAACGGCTGGCAGGTTGTGGATGTGAGATCGCTGTGAATTCGCATGGAATACACTGTATTACAAAGGTGAGATGAGTCGGATGGAAAAGGGAAATCAACAAAAGTCATTTACTGCTTCGTTGGCTACGTTGAAAATTCTCTTGGAGCCATCCATCATTCCATTCAAAACTCGATTTTGTTGCAGAGTGTTTCATATTCTAATTAAGACATAGTTCAATTAGCTTAACTTAACTTATGAAATAAACATATATATGTGTAGGTATATATAAAAAAAAACCTTTGCTTATTTTCTAAGCGCTTTCCAAAGCGAAAGTCGCTCCATGCGAAAGATTTGGCGGTTCAGTGAGCAGTGAAGAGTTCGAGCTCTGTCAAGAGTTCGAGCTGGCGTGAAAGACAAAGTTTTCTTATTAGATTCCCATCAAGAGCGCTCGCCTCGGCTGTGTCGCGCTTTGACAAGCC